CTTCCTGTAAACACGCCAGCAGGACCTCTATGGAGTTTGAATCATTGTGTTTAAGGGGCAGGTATAATTGGGTGTCATCAGAGTATAAGTGAAAAGATACTCCATATTTTAAAAAGATGGAGCCCAATGGCAGCAGGTATAAAGAGAACAATGTTGGAGCAAGAATAGATCCCTGCGGAACACCACAGGCGAGATGTGCTGCTGAGGAAGTGTGTTTTCCAATGCATACAGAAAACTTCCTGTTAGATAAAAAGGACTGAAACCAATTTAGAACGGTGCCCTGAATGCCTACAAGATTTTCCAGTCGGGAAATAAGAATTGTATGATCAACCATATCGAAAGCTGAGCTAAGATCTAAAAGGACCAGAGCAACAACACTCCCATTATCTGTAGCCAGCATAATGTCATTAGTGACTTTCAATAGAGCAGATTCGGTACTGTGAAGTTTTCTGAATCCTGACTGAAACACGCCGAGATTGTTCACACATGGTGAGACATAAGAACTTAAGTCGCCAAGGTCAAGATCACCTAAGTCATAAAAATCACTTGGACCAAACAGTACTACTTCGGTTTTATTCTCATTTAAGGCCAGAAAATTGTGTGTAAGCCATAATTTCGCTTCCTGTAAACACGCCAGCAGGACCTCTATGGAGTTTGAATCATTGTGTTTAAGGGGCAGGTATAATTGGGTGTCATCAGAGTATAAGTGAAAAGATACTCCATATTTTAAAAAGATGGAGCCCAATGGCAGCAGGTATAAAGAGAACAATGTTGGAGCAAGAATAGATCCCTGCGGAACACCACAGGCGAGATGTGCTGCTGAGGAAGTGTGTTTTCCAATGCATACCTCCAAGTCAAAGTCATGACGGCCAAGGCGGGACAGGTCGATGTGGAGGTCAAGGCAGATGGCGTATTCCTCTAGTGTGCGACTCACCTGATGGATCCTCTCCATCACTGTGTCTGGGGATGGTCCTGTAAACAGGAAACAGTGACAGATTTCAACAAAACATCTCAAATATTAAAAAACGCCCAATGACAATAAGTTGGATCTAAGAATACTGCATCTGTCAATCAAAAATAGAAATAAGTTTTCAAAGATTTGTAGCTATATGTGTTGTCAGGATCCAAAATAAACCAAATTATTACTCTGGAGGAACAAATTACGTTAATTCATTATGTGTGGTATATACAGTACTTCACAATAATCCACCAAAATGAAAATATAATGCACCACAATGCATATTCACATATTTGGGATATGTGCAATTTCACAAAGAGATGGACACTGACAATTAAACATCATGCTAAAATTGAAAAATTCATTCAAAAACCATTCAAAAATTTGAGACCAGTATATACATATTTTTTTAATTAATACTTTTATTTAGCAAGTACACGATACATTTAAAAAAGTGACAGTAAAGACTTTTACATGTTCACTTTTACAATGATTTCTGAAGGCTGATGTGACACTGAAGACTGGAGTAATGGCTGCTGAACATTCAGTTTTGCCATTACAGGAATAAATTACATTTTAAAATATATTAAACATAGAAAACAGTTGTTTTAAATTGTAATATTATTTCACAATATTACATATTTTACTGTTTTTTTAATTATTTGATTTAATTTCATTATTTATTGTATTTATTATTTATCATTTCACGATGTTTTAACCTCGATCTACGAACAGAAAGCAACTCCAAGGTTGCCGGATCTAAGTGCCCTGGACGGATTATGACAATGTAAAAGATCAGATAAATAGGTTGGAGCTAGGCCGTGTAGTGCTTTAAAAACTAAAACAAAAAAAATTTAAATTCTATTCTCAGTTTGACTGGTAGCCAGTGCAGAGAAGTTAAAATGGGAGAAATACGATAGAATTTGCGACTACCAGTCAGCAGCCTGGCTGCAGCATTTTGAACCATTTGAAAGCATCCAATCGATGATTGGTTTGCTCCATAATAGAGTGAATTGCAGTAGTCAAGGCGTGAAGTAATAAATACATGGATGACTATGTCAAAGTTCTTTAGAGAAAGAAAAGGTTTAACTTTTGCGAGATGTCGTAGATGATAAAAACATGACTTAACAACATAATTAATCTGTTTATAGAACTTGAGACCTGAATCAAACAACACACCTAGATTTTTCACACATGGGGAGACATAAGAACTTAAGTCGCCAAGGTCAAGATCACCGAAGTCATAAAAATCACTTGGACCAAACAGTACTACTTCGGTTTTATTCTCATTTAAGGCCAGAAAATTGTGTGTAAGCCATAATTTTGCTTCCTGTAAACACACCAGCAGGACCTCTATTGAGCTTGAATCATTGTGTTTAAGGGGCAGGTATAATTGGGTGTCATCAGCGTATAAGTGAAAAGATACTCCATATTTTAAAAAGATGGAGCCCAATGGCAGCAGGTATAAAGAGAAAAATGTTGGAGCAAGAATAGATCCCTGCGGAACACCACAGGCGAGATGTGCTGCTGAGGAAGTGTGTTTTCCAATGCATACAGAAAACTTCCTGTTAGATAAAAAGGACTGAAACCAATTTAGAACGGTGCCCTGAATGTCTACAAGATTTTCCAGTCGGGAAATAAGAATTGTATGATCAACCATATCGAAAGCTGAGCTAAGATCTAAAAGGACCAGAGCAACAGCAATCCCATTATCTGTAGCCAGCATAATGTCATTAGTGACTTTCAATAGAGCAGATTCGGTACTGTGTAGTTTTCTGAATCCTGACTGAAAAGTATCATATAGTGAATTAGATTCCAGAAAAGAATGTAGTTGAGTAAATACAACCTTTTCCAAAATTTTTGAAATGAAAGTGAGATTAGAAATTGGTCTGAAATTACCTAAATCAGACACATCAAGATTTTGTTTCTTCAAAAGAGGAATGACTGAAGCATGTTTTAGGCAGTCAGGAACCGTACCAGTACTCAAACACATGTTAATAAAAAAATAGGAGATCAGGCCCTATAGTATCAACAATTTGCTTAAAAAAGTGTGATGGAATACCATCATAAGGACAAAAAGAAGGTTTCAGATGATCAATAATATTGTAGCACAGTTCGTAAGGAGGAAGGAATGAAGTGAACCAGGTGGGCGTTTGGAGACTCGTGGATCTTTATTTAATAACTCAAACTTGAACAAAAACAAAAGTATCGCTTCCAGAGCGTTCGCACCCTGCCAATGACATAAATTCAGTTCCTCAGGTATTCTCTCTCTGGCTGAGCGATGGCCACGAGTCCCCGTCTCTCTCTCTCCTCCACGCTCTCCAGTCTGCCTTTTAACCGGTCTCTCCAGGCCAATTACTGCAATCAGACACAGGTGTTCATCATTTTGCACTTGACCTACTTACTCACCGCTCGTCTCCCGCCCCTCTCTCCCGCTGCAGACTTCGCTGAACCACGCCCCCCTCACCACATACCCCCACCGCCCGACTCAGGCCGGGGAGCCCCCCCCCATTTCTGGAGAGAAAGTCGGCTACAGCCATCTGTGCACCCAGCCTGTGGACCACCTTGAATTTAAAGGGTTGTAATGCCAGATACCAACGGGTGATCCGCGCATTGGTATCCTTCATGCGGTGGAGCCACTGCAGGGGCGCGTTGTCCGAACAGAGAGTGAATTCCCATCCCAGGAGATAATAGCGGAGGGTGAGAACAGCCCACCGGATCACCAAGCACTCCTTCTCAATGGTGCTATACATCGTCTCTCTCTTAGAGAGCTTCCGACTGATGTACAGCAGCGGCCGTTCCTCACCCTCTATCTCCTGGGCCAGGACGGCTCCCAGCCCCCTGTCCGACGCGTCTGTCTGCAACAAGAAGGGGAGAGAAAAGTCAGGAGAGTGTAAGAGCGGTCCGCCACACAGAGCAGCCTTTACCTGGGTGAAAGCCTGCTGACACAGCTCAGTCCACTGGACCAGGTCTGGCACTTCCTTTTTAGTGAGGTCAGTCAGCGGGCTGGTAAGGTCCGAATAATTAGGGATAAACCTCCTATAATATCCTGCCAGCCCCAGGAACTGCCTCACCTCCTTTTTGGTCTTGGGCCTCGGACAGGTCGCAATTGCCGCCGTCTTACTAATTTGGGGACGCACCTGTCCATGACCCAAGTGGAAGCCCAGATACCTGACCTCCACACACCCAATCGCACACTTCTTCGGGTTGGCCGTCAGCCCGGCCCCTCTCAGAGCTCGTAGGACAGCCCGCAGATGCGCCATATGCCGCTGCCAGTCCTGACTGTAAATAATGATGTCATCTAGATAGGCAGCGGCATAGGCGGCATGCGGGCGGAGGATTCTGTCCATGAGCCGCTGAAAAGTGGCCGGAACCCCAAACAACCCGAAAGGAAGGGTAACAAATTGGTGTAATCCAAACGGCGTCGTGAAGGCTGTCTTTTCTTTGGATAAGGGCGATAAGGGGATCTGCCAATATCCCTTGGTTAAGTCCAGTGTCGAATAAAAGCGAGCTGCACCCAGCCGATCAAGCAACTCGTCAACCCGCGGCATTGGATAGGCGTCGAATTTCGACACCGCATTCACTTTGCGATAATCCACACAGAACCGAACCGAGCCGTCCGTTTTAGGTACCAAAACTATCGGGCTCGCCCAATCGCTGTGGGATTCTTCTACTACCCCCATCTCTAACATCGCCTCTAATTCTGCCTGAACCACTTTCTTTTTGTGTTCCG